TTCTCATCTTTCAATTCTTGATCAACTTTATCCAGCAAGCTGGCTGCTTGTTTTCTTTTGTTTGTTTTCTTTGTGTTGTGCGTCGCGTGTGACATAGTGGGATGGGCGTTGAAGGGGTAGATGGGACAGGTGTTGAGGTGGACGGTAGTGTGGAAAAGGTGGGAATAAGTGGAGCGGAAATAGGTCGAAAGAAAGAGTTACTGTGATCTGAAGTGGGAGAAGCGGGTATGGTGTAGTCTGGTGTGTCAGAGCAATAATTACTTTCGCTCTGAGCACTGGCACACCGAGGGGGCAACATTGATGCAAACACCACTGCTGCATCGTCGGTGGCATCTCTGCTTTCTTCGTACAGGTTACTGCTTGTTCTATGAGGAAAACAAGCAGCTGCATAATTAGTGCCGTGAAGAATACAGCAGTAACAAATACATTTCTTTGAATGCATGCACTAGCTACTATGCATTATTGCACTGAAAATAAGCATCTAGCTGCTCTAGCATTCTCTATGTTGCCAGTCTGAGACTGTTGGGGTTACATTACAATTTTGCTTAATGGTTTTGCGTTTTGGGGTTTTGCGTTTTGTGAGGGACACCGTATTGAAGGGCTCGGGAAACTTCTGACCATCTGGTGTTCTTTATAACGTGCACTGACGTTTCACAGCACACGGGCGTCTACTGTTTTGCCTCCATTGAAATGCAACCGCCCAAGCCGGGATCAAACCTGCGACCTTCGGGTCAGCAGCTCAAGACCCTAGCCACTGCTACACCGAGTTGGACTTGCGCTACTGTTAAGAATTGTTGCAACTCAAAAACAAGCAAAGGAATTAAATGGCATAAATACATGTGAAGATGTGCCGTGTATCTACAGTTTTTTTGTAGTGATAATTCTTCACAGTGTTTCAGAGAACTTGTCACAAGCAGGCATATTGCATTACAAAAAATAATCGACAAGTGAATCACAATTTACATGAATAAATTCTGTATTCTTTCTTGCTATCAGTATGACTTTTGCTCTAGTTCTTCAATAAATGTAGCTCTTATAACACATACCTGTTACTCAAAAAAACGACTGATCAAGGTGAATTTGCAGCATCCATATTCATACACCTTTCAAAAGCATTTGACACAATTAATCACCCCATTAATTTAGCAAAACTTGAAGCTATTGCAATAACCGGCCCACCTCTGCTCCTTATAAAGAGTTATTTACAGGATAGAAAACAAACCATTCATATATCTGGCTCTTCTTCTGAAGAACTAACTACTAAGATGGGTGTACCACAGGGGGCCATAATAGGTCTCCTACTGTTCCTAATTTGTATTATTAATGACTTGCCTCTCATCTAATTGTCTCTATTGCTGACGACATGAGGATTCTTATTTCTAATCGCTGCATATCTACACTATCAAATAAGCTAAATGAAGATTTTTTGAGAATGTGGACGTGATGTGAAAATAACAATCTGCAAATTAACAATAATAAGACCAAATTTGTCGTCTTTCCACATATCAGCATTGTCTCTACAGCATTTCTAGGTCTGGCACTTGATCGCCACCTTAAATTCCATCTACATGTCTCCAACATGAAAAAAGGAATGACCTACAGTGTACGCACTCTCAACAAAGCTCAACTGCATTTCTGCTTCTCTACTCTCATATCACTTTATTATGCTTTTGTTCATTCCCACCTTAGCTACAACATTGAACAGTGGGGGCAACATGTACAATAGCCACCTTACAAGCGCAGAAGGTCCCATTTCAGTCGATGACTATAGCACCTCCTGTATATTCTTACTATGTACTTATTCCTTTGTTTGATTTGAAATAAATGATTATGATGACTACTAACAGCAGTAGCAGTCATCACTGGTGGCGTTGCCGAAACACAGACCTCTTCTGCTTTCACAGGGGGGCAATGGCTCAAGTTTCGCCACTCATCTCTATGCTGGCATGTTCCGTCGTAGTGGATGGATGGATTGATGTGGCTCTACCCTTTAGGTCTGGCGGCAGCGAACGCAACCTAGCCATACTATGTAGTGAACGATCAACTAGATTTATCTTTTTTTTTCTTTGAATAGTGAAGTATAGGACTGGTACTTTGCAGTGAATTGCTTAATTTTCACTCGTGCCTTGACTTTAGCCACCAATCAGATAACCTCCTTCTAGTTAATTCTACCCACTTAAGGTCTATTTTGCCCTCCCTGTCTCTAAACCCCAGCTTTGAAAAACTCTGCGCCATCATCCTGGTTGAAGCCCTTTACAGAACATTATCAAGTGTCCGGCAGTTTCCTCCTCCTCTCCGCATGCACTGCATACCATGTCTACCCCTTCGTATTTGGCACGATATGTCTTGGTTCGCAATACTCCTGTCCTGGCCTCAAACAGTAGAGAACTATTTCGAGTATTATCACAGATACTTTCCTTGGCAATTTTCTGCTTAAAAGTTCGATAGATCTCTAGTGCGAACTTCTTAATCATGCCGATTCTCCACATGTCAGTCTCAGTTTCCTTCACCTTCTTCTTAACCGATACTTCTTTTTTGTGTGGCCCCCTGCTGTTTTTTAAGTATTTACCTGTCAATTTTCTGGTTCGCTTCCTCCGTTTTGTATCGACATTCTTCATGTACAAGTAGCTGAAAACCTTCCTAGCCCAAGGCTCTTTCCCCATTTCTCTTAATCGCTTCTAGTGTGCAGACCCGAAAGCACCACCTTCCTAATTGCTATTATGCTGCAAACTGCGGTAACAATCTAAACATGAATAAATCGATTCCACAAGTGAAATTCTACCAATTTTCAAATGAATTACAAACAAATAGCAGATGAATGATATATGAGGAGAACTTGTTGCTAGATGTTTGAAAATTTATTTGCAAATTAGTTGAAATAGTTAGATGAAAATACTTCCAAGAAGTGCACCAAATTCTAGGTACATGAGCCTCACTGATAAACTTCAAGTGATAATCAGTGCAATGCTATGTGCATTTTTTCTTTAGTATGTATCAGTGATACTGTAGTCACAACGAAGGGAGCAGTTTGGGTGTCAGGTGTTTCCGCTCCAAGTAAAACAATTTAAAGTGTCAGCTACTTTCAACGCTTCAACGTTTGCTACAAACCACAAACAAAGCTTCGACTTACGGACGTGGCTCGGTGATGTCCTTCAAGAAGAGGAGGAGGTCGAAAAATTTCCATTTTGGTGTTGCCTCCCCCGCCCCAGCTCCACTCTTTTTCTTCAGTTCTCGTAGTTTTCTAGAGAAGGTGTCCCTTAAATTGCCCCATCTATTATATACAAGCTCCACATTTTCTAGAAAAGAAAAGGTAACAAAAACACATTATGCATGATTTCTCCAAACATTTTTAATGAAATATTGGTGACACAAACTGAGAAGCAAGAAAAAATAACTCTGAAAGCAAGATGACATGTGACATTCCACGCTCTTTGCTGATTGTTCCATCAATGCTTCCGAATTTGCCACTCAGATATCTCACAATACTATGCACCAAATCGGCCAACACAACTGCAATTTTAATGCTTGCAATGACAAAGTGGGCGATGTGGGCAATTGTTCACAGTCGAAAAATGTTTTAATGTTTAATCTTTCAATGCCACAAACATTGCACGAGCTGTGTACTGCGTAACAATTTCGTACTATACGTACGTAACTGATGATTGATGATAAGACAATTTGGTTGACGTTAAGACTGCAACAGCTATGTTAGACTGCGCATGAAACGTGTTTGCAAGACTTTCCGTAAGAAGTGTAAAAAGTGGCTTTCATGTGAGGCCCCTTTACTCGAGGCTACATAGCGGCTTGAGAGGCGCGGGCCCATTTGCCCGTCACAACACTTCTATGGGGTCATAATATAAGCGTTGACGTACATTACTATATGAAAAGAAGCCATAGGCGCTCAACATTTGTCATTACGTTGTTTCCAATCACTACGGAGTGAAACCCGATGGAATGACACTTGCTACTTTGAAACCAGTAAACATAGCTTTCCAGATTCGCCGTACGTCACGTTTCAAGGTTCGCGCCGTGTGGGTCTAAAACTTGTGTGTTTTAAACTTTATCTCACATGAAAAGCTCAGCTGCGTGCGCAGTTCACACTACAAAAAAAGTGCCCGAAAGAAAAAAAAATTATTTGACAATGAAATACTTGTACATACCATCTGTCTAAGCAAGGCCTAGCATGCTGACGACTCGTCGCCAAGCATCCGCCCATGCATCCGCATTTCCGTATGTTGCCGAGCGCTGTTTCCACAGTGCCGGCTCCTGCCGCACAAGTGAAATTAATAATTCAGTTGAAAATTGGGCCACTCTTAAACTCATGGCTTTGTCGAAACTGCCGGCACCGATGCAGCTACCTTCTCAGCAGGAAAACTTGGCAATATGGCAGCTCCGCTAGCTGGTTCACCTGCTTCGTGGCACGTCATCGTGACGTTTCCCTCTTCGCGCTGTGATTGGCTGCTGCATTGCGGCGGTTTGATGCTCGCTGCACCGGCTATGCGGCGATGCGACGCTATGATACGTCACGAAACCTCACGAAACGTCACCACTCCGGCAGTCGCATCGTCACACCACACGCCGAATCGCAGAGAAAATCGCACGTCTGTCTCGCGCTTAACACGACAATGTTTTCCGGCTTGTCCAGAATTAGTTACCCGTAAATGTTGCGAACCAAAGTTGCTCCCTCGTTCATCAATTTCGAGGCTACACGAGTGCCGAGGTAATAGTTTCCTTTTCACGTAAGACTGCCGCATTTTCGAGCGGAGATCGCGACAACATTGCGCACACGTCGTTAGGGAGTTTTATTGCTGGGTACGCAGGCAGCCCCAAACAGATGCGTCGCAAGATCGCTGGGGCAATGGGGCGATGCGTCTGTGCGCCCATAAACAACGCTACCGCCACTGGCCTCCTAGCGGAGATAAGTGGAGATAAGCCAAGCCTAGGCTTGCCAGAGCCACAACTTTGACTTGTAAGCACAAAGGCGCCAAATCTCGCACAGGATGGATCAGCCGCCTTCCCAGATTCCACCTCCGGCGAAGCAGCGCAGCGCAAGGTTTTACTTTACGCCGGAGGTGGACATTTTTCTCTTACGGGAGGTGCTGGCCGTGGACCCTTTTGAAGATAGTTCGAGATGGGCCGCCATCGCTCGCAACTTATCGGCGGTGTTGCTGAGGAATGTTGTTGCCCGGAGCCTTCGGGACCACCTCGATTTGTTGCTCGCACAGTTCGCCGCGCGCGGCAGAAAAAATCTAAGAAGGTAAGTGTTCTGATCGCTTCCCCTCTCTAATAACCTATGTGTGCTGACGTGCTACGTCATTTCCAATCTTTTCTGCTGCCGCAGCACTTGCGCTGCTGAAGGCCTAACTGCGCTGAGCTGTGCTCGTGTGGATCTCCATGATATGCAATATGCAAAAACAGAATCTGGTCAGGAAGAAAGCTAGTGCCTAGGAATAGCCCTGGTAAATCTAAAACGTTTCCTACTATAGGCAGCGCAACAAGTGAAAAATAATATAAGTTGAGTCAATCGCGAAACGTGATTCTTAGGCCACCGGTCCAAATTTTGCCTGCTCTTGAACGCATTCAGTTAGGAATGACCTGTTCCTAGCAACTTTACGCGAAAAGTTGATCAGAACGAATGCCTAAGTGTTTCAGAGTTGCTCATATGCTTCGCTCTACCGTTCCAACAATATGCATGTTCGAGGAGGCTATTTACTATTGACATCATACAGCGGCTTAGAGAATAAACTTGTGGTGCGCATGCATTGAAACAATTGACAACTTTAAATGGGTTGCCCAGAGATGTCAAACAGTTGAGAGAAATGTGGTGTGTTAAACTGCCAAAGTGCACAAACTTGCTGGCAGTCAGCGTTTCTTCTGTCCTTAACATTAATGAGTGCTGTTTGTAATTGTTATGGGATATTAATATTATTGCTAATTCATCTCCCTTACATCTGGAACAGAAGAAGAATATAATGAAAAAGAGAGGCTGCTGGCAGAGGTATACCACTTAGCACAGAACAGTGGGTACTGCTTAAAACGTAGTGCCGTAAGGAAAGTTGCAGCTGCAGCAAAACAGCAGCTGAAGCAGGAGCAAGCAAAATTGGAGCACCCACCTACAGAAAAGAAAATAGCTGCAGCAATCCGAGACCTACGTGCCTCAGAATTCGAAGTAACTGGAAGGGAGTGGATGTCTGTGGATGAGGACGTACTGTCTTCGCATGATGAAGACAACATGTGTAAGTATCTTGCTCCTTACTTAAAAATCAGTAGTTTGAGTAAATGTTTTCTTAGTTTAGCAATTAAATGAATATCAAAACAACAAATAGAAAATGTTAAGTGTCATGACTTATACTGTGACATTATTAAGGTTAGTGAAGTATTGGAATGTAGCAGGCAGAACGAAAAACATTTGCTCAGTATTACTGACCTTATAACGAAACAGAAAAGGTTTGCTTCCTGGTTCTTCCGAACATCAAACAGAAAAGTTGCTCACCGCCTAGCTCACATGTTTTATTTGGCCAGATGTACGTTTTCATATTTACCGCACACGCTCAGAATATTCTGAGGGCGTGCAGTATGTTCACTTATTCTATATGAGCGTCTCATTTCGCTTTTTTTTTTCACTCGAGGGTTTGTTTCTTGTGCACAGTTTTCCAAGCAAATGTGGTTGTCAAGGAATTCACTTTTAATTATCTTGGAAAACCTGGGAAAAGTCAGGGAATTTGAAAAAAATCAAAATGGTAGATACACTGACTGCTTCTTCAAAAGTATTACGTAGGACCTTCAGAGACCTTCAATACCCCTGAGTTGTTTAAGTCTGTACCAACCACTAGTAAAACCAAATAAAATCGTACGTTTCCTCAAATCGCTGGTATCACCAGATTACCTTGATGTCTCTGATAAGCTAAATAAACTATGCGCTACAACATTTACTCTTTCTCAGGGTCCAGAAACGTCTATGACCTAGGGGAGGCCCAAGCTTCAGCTACCTGTGATGACTGCGAGCTGCTGGCATCAGTTCCACAACTACCCGCCAGCCACTCGGTGACTACAACAGGGCAGACGGCTGCATCCAGCAGCGTGCTGGTTCAGGACTTCTCACCCAGCCCTTCACATGGCATTTTCCATGAGCCAAGTCCATGCCCTACCCTGAACACCACCCCTGATCGCACCCTTGACCCCACCTCTGCCTGCCATCCTAGCCCCATCCTTGATCCCGCCCGTGGTTCTTCCCCTGCCCCTCCCCCTGGCTCTTCCTCTGGCCTCACTACTGGCCCTACCTCTGGCCCCACCTCTGGCTCCTCGCCAGGCCCCACACAAGGCCCCACCAGTGGCCTTTTGCCCACTATTGCAAAGGGGTATATGCGTACACCACCTGGCATATGCCTCAAAAATCGTACGTTTCAGTTTACTACTGTTTGAACATTGTAAGACGGCCTTGCCCATCCACCAGCTTCTGGCAAAGCATGACTAATTTGTGACACAAAAATCATCAATGTCAATTTATATTTGACAAACAAAATGCAACTATCCAGACATTTCAATGTGGATAAACTAATAGCTATATTCGTTACTCTGACATTTTTAGTTGTTTCTTAAATATTCATTACTGCATGTACAAGGACCGCATCTAAATGAAACGTATAAATGCTCTATTTTATCTGTAACCAACCTATTACAGTGACCTGTGTGATACTGCTTCTACTAACACATTGTCAATGCGTTACTTCAGCCCATCTAGCAAAGTCGTGTCCTTTCTTTCCTTTTTTTTCTTTCCTTAGGGCATTCTCCTTTTATTACCTCGTAAGCAGCGTGGAATAGAGCGGAAATGGATTATGATATTGTGAGCATATACCTTCTTCAACTGTTCATAATCATGATCACAGGGTTTTTCTTTTCTTCATGATCATTGCTTGTGGGGACTCATCCATATATTGTTCACCCACATCTTGAAGGCGATGGAGGCAAAAATGTTGTATGCCCATGTGCTCAGATTTGGGTGCACGTTAAAGAACCCCAGGTGGTCAAAATTTCTGGAGTCCTGCACTACGGCGTATCTCATAACCACATGATCGCTTTGGTATTTTAAACCCCACCCATCAATCAATCACATCTTCAAGGCGTATTAAAGGCCTGACATTTCCTTCGTCACAATGTGCACACTCAAACTTTCAGCACTAATTAAGGTATGCATAAAAGCATCAGATTATGTGTAAGAAACTGAATGACGGCAAAGTGAAGCGTCTTGGCTTTTTCTGACATTGGACAATATTTTAGTATTAAACTATGGAAGGCAGTTTCAGAATGTAAACCTACTAAAATTGTGAAAAAAAACTTGATTTTCACTATATTTCATGGCCTTCACATTTTCATCAGAACCTAATCACTCATTCCAGTCCCTTTGACTTTGCGCAAGGAATAAAACATGATGATTCTACTTCTCATGTTAATTTAGAGCCTTTCTGGGTGCTGAATTAAAGGTGCTTAAAAGCTCCTCGGCTGTCTTTGGTCTGGGAACTTCTACCTCTGTATATTGACAGCTTAGATTGCCTCTACATGCATGTGATCCCAGCTTATCCTGGTAAAGTCTAGAAACGAAGAGGTGTTACTTCTGTTACAACCTTTAAGCAGTCTACACTTGCTCTAACCTATTTTACTAGCCAGTGCAAGCATTATGTATCTTGCAGGCAGGTCAAGCATGTTGACAACTCTGCATGCGGTCAAAACATTCAGTGGATAAAAAAACGATTTCGTGCAGCTTGCATATACCTATCTAGATAGCGTATGAAAGCAACAGTGAGAATGAGTGTAGCGAGAGAGCATGCATGTTCTATTTCTCATGGAAACATCCCATAATGCTTAACATTTTGCAATTACAGGAAAAAAGGCGTGAGGATCCCCACTTGCAGTTTTTCGAAAAAAGGCTGCAACCTGAGAAAGGGGCCCGGAGCAGGGACAGAGAAATGTAAAAGGAGCGGTTGGCCCTAGAAAGGGAACGCCTTGCAGTCGAGGACCGCCGCATCACTTTAGAACGAGACAGGCTCACCTTGGACAGAGACGTATTTCTCCAAAAAAAAGAGGAAGTGGGAAGAAACCCAAGAGGAGAAAAAGGAAGAGCGGCTCGCCAGGCAAAGAGAAAGGGAACAAAAAAGAGAACTCTATCTCTGACAGCAGGGTGCCCTGATTGACTTGGTAAAGTCTGTCGTTGAGAACATCCAGAAATAATTATTCAGTTGCCTTGTAAAGCCTAAGGCAATATTTATATGTATATATATATATATATATATATATATATATATATATATATATATATATATATATATATATATATATATATATATATATATGTATATGAACAAATGCTTAGTAAGTCTTATGCATTGTATTAGACACGATTGTATCAGAAAAAATTGTCAGAAAAAAAATTCCGGACCTTAAAACTATTCCTTTAGAAGTTGACTGTGATTGCAATGTCCTGTTCCCCTAGTGCATACTTCAATAGCCAGCGGTTAATGTAAGTGACCAATTAAGGACCATGCAGGGTAAAAGAAAAAGTGATGAGTTGTTTTAATAGCATATAATTTTGATGCACAGAGAAAAAAAAGAGAATAGATTGAACTTTTTGAATGAAGTAGACTTATTAATAATGCATTATTTTTGGTAGGTTAAATAGTGCAGTGTAGTACTGAAAATGTAAATTTAGGCTTACTTACTCAGCCTATTACTCAGCAAGAACAGCATTGCTTTTGCTATCCTTCGTCATTCTTTGGAGAAGCGTGGTATCCGCTGCATACTTGCAAAAATTTTTGTTCAAATTTTTTATGCAGTGGTTGAAGACAAAAAATTATACCCGACCAAAGTGGGTAGGCACCACAGTTGATAAGAGATCAAAATTTTGTATGGGTCGGAGCATTGGACGACCCACTTGTTAACCAATTTGCGTTATGTCACAGTTTATTTTATCGCTGTTTGAAATTCCTTTCTTACTCATACTAATGTGATTCCTTTCCTGACATCAAGCCTGCCTTTGTGATCTCATAGCAGCTTTCGCTGTAATAAGTTTATACCCTTCGAAGCTGCACTGATGTCTCGCATCACTCTCTCTTTTCCTGCTGTGGTACACTCCAAGTATATGCCGTACTAATTTGGTGAAGCATATGCAAGTTCTGTTCTAGGCAGAAGTAGGGACAAGATAGCACGAAAAATAACAGCAAAAGCGTACCATATAGGGAAGGGGAGGATGTGCATCTGACACATTGGTGTAGCTTTAGACGGCAGAAACGGATTTTCTTATTTATTTATTTACAGAGTACCTACATCGCCATATAAGCATTACGTAGGGGGGGGGGAACAAAAAACAGTCAGTACAAAGGAATTCGTAGCAAAATGCATAATGCACATAAAAAATAATACAAAAAGAACCACCGCCACATTAATCAGAACATAATAATGCATCACAAAGTACATTTTCGTACACACAGAACATACATAATGCAAGAAGAATTTCACAGCATAGAAAAAAAATCATTATTTGTTATATCAACCAAGTCGTCACTTAAGCTCTTCCACTCTCTTATTGTTTTTGGAAAGAATGAGTGGAAAACGTATTGGATCTGCATTTGAAGATAGATGTCTTTTTGCTATTGTCACAGCGAGTGGATGTGTAGGGGGGTTGAACAAGGTAGCAATGGTGATTGATTCCTGTGATGACTGCTATATGCTTGTAATTGTATTTTCCTTTATTGTACATTCTTGTTCATGTATTATGCTTTTATCACTATAATACACTTCATTGTTAAATCAAATATTGTATTCTTGTTTACTTGCAATCTTTTTTTTTTATTTTTTGCACAATGATTCACTATGGTCCACATTAGTGTACACTCGTGATCTTCTTGTATATGTTTTTGTTTTCCTGATGCTGCTAGCGATTGTTACCAACTGTATGCTTTGAATTTTTCTTTGCATCCCCCCTACTGTAATTCCATGTGGCGCTGAGGGTATGGCATAAATAAATTAAAAAATAAAGTCTGATGAAAGTAGCTCCCATCCCGTATAGCGTGTTCTTGTCTTGCACAAAAATTTCTAGGAACACTATTGTGGTTGCTGTTGTACTTGTACTAGCAAAAGAAGTGCCATGATCCAGGCAGTATTGCACATTGTAATTAAGAGCCTACATATCAAATGGAGAAATAAATATTTCACTGAACTGTTTCAAATGTGAAAACCCTCATACTCAACCTTTTGGTTCTACTTGTCCCTCTGGCAAATGTCATCATTAACTTAAAGTAGGCTATCTCAGTAGACTTAATATCGCTAGTTTTGCTCCTTCACTACACTCCTTTTTAATTTCTCACTCGGGGATGACATTACAGTCTCATTTGCACAACAAGCGCAAAGTAACAGCTTTAGAGGGCTCCTTGCAACTATGTCTGCTCGCACATTCGTTGCATTCAACACTTCGATTTTGCACATGTTGGGGTAGGTTAGGGGCAAATGCAATGTTGCAGTTGCTTTTGAGATGTTACTAAATACCAATTTTCAATTTTAACAGACTTAAAGGCTTTCCTGTTTTGTGAATAGCCTAATTTAAAAGAATTAAAATGTAGTAACTTCGTTAGTGATGGAAGTGACCTTACTTTTTGGAGCATAATTTGAAGCAGCCATAAAAGTATTCGAAGCGGGAAAACATGCTAGTTTACATGACAATAGGTATAACGCGAGAACAGAACGACGGCAAAGGGACACGAAAGAGACCTTTTTTGTCCTGTTCTTGCGTTATACCTATCGTCATGTCATACCAACTAGCCCAAACGCCCACACTGCTAGTTTACAGCAGCTACCGGTGTCTACGAGCAGATATCAAATTTGTCATGCATTAATTGGAGTTCAGAGCATTGTCGAAGAATTCCGTATAACAGTGTATAGAAAAGAATTAAAGATGACACTTTCTATGAGAGAAATATAACATGCTGATGTGATGAAGGCAAACAAATACAAGCACAGCTGTGAATCTGTTGGAAATCCGGCACTCTCGGATCACCAGATTGCTAAGGTGAATGAAAGCGTTTTCAATAAGTTGAGAAAACGTTTTGCACAAAAGAGCACATGTACTCAAGTTCGTCGCACGTGATATACACACCATCTGCCGAACGCGCACTCCGATACACACAATCTAATAGTGGCACGCATGAGCACACACTACTGAGAAAATCCCCCCACCAGTCTCACTTCTGGCAACTGTATGCTGACTGTGGCCCACACGAAAAGTGCTGCTAGCTACAGCACAACAAAAGAGCTAAACAGTCTTCCACAATGAAGCAGTGATCGCAGTGCACGGTTGCCTATTTGAACGAATTTCAGAGGCACTAGTACTGCCCAGTGTCGGTGCACATT